TTACGCAATTACGTACAGTCACGGTCAGACGTCCGTCACAGTTAATTAGGCCCGCACCCTCTATAATCGCCCCATTTTTCGTTGCTGACGTGGCCAATCGGCGCCCACGCCAGACAGTTATCGATTTCTACACGTTAAAATTTTAACTGTTTTGTACACATATTATAACCAGCCACTCTTTTGTTGCTGTTTCTTCTTCTCTGACGATGGACTCTTGCACGAGTTCGAAAGCTCAGAGGAGTAAAAAATCAATCCGGTGTTCGACTATTCTTCTTCTTTATCAAAACATTTATTAACTAAAAGTTTCCATTTAAACCGTAGATTACGGTTAGGTATAGGAACTGAGTAATTGGCCGCCCAGCAGTCCTTTACTATTAGAATGCATAAATTTCTCCAAAACGCTACGTTAAGAGATTGGGTTCTTACTGGGGGATATGCTCGTAGCCCACGATAATTTTAAGGAGTCTCCTGCCAGTTGAAATTCTGCTGATATATTTTGAATCAAACATTAATATGATAAGCATTGGGACATGCTGTAAGGCTAGGATTTCTTACTAGAAGTCAAATAACTTAGGACGGTTGAAAGCAGACTTCATTCCTTCGTAAATCCACAGAGAGGAACTTATAAAGTATGCACAATCTGTATAATAAGTTTCGAATATTTGGTTTCTATGACTAGAAATACAACAACCGTCATTCTGTAACACTGAAGATCAACACCAGACTCAATCACTTCGAGGATATCTGAAACACAGTGGGCCTTCCCATTAATTATCTTCCTGGAAATTAAGAAAGTAGGCAAAAGAAGAAGTCCTTGTGGCTCATACATCTGCTGCTGTCTAAAGGTTTTTGTTGAGAAACCATGCTCTCAAAATCTATAGTTGACAGCCTCACAAAGACACACGGATAGTTCCAGGGTTCTGCAAGGTGGCCCGCCGATTGCGGAAACTGTAAAAGGGAAACACTTTGTTTGCCAATACAAGCAAACACGCGTGTTCGGCAATTCGCGTCTTGAGAAGTCTGCCAGCAGTGCGGCGAAATGATGCTTATTCTCAAGTTGCGGCTCATTCGACGAGACCCGGCCACACGTTCAAGGTTGATGAGGCCGAAATTCTCGCAAGGTGTGCAATCGGGTGAGCCGAGAACTACTTGAGTCATGGTTCACAGGCCCCCAATCCATACACAAGTGCAAGGATTTGCCCAATCCATATTCAATTCTGAGATTCACTTTGGCCGAAGCAAGTCGTCACTTAAGGAACGGGCAGGCCACCGCCTCATCGTACGCTAACACCGGAGAGCCAGACGGCCGAGCAATCATCACGTCCGAGCCCACCACCCGTAATGAAAGTTCAACAGGTCAGAGCCCGCGTGCCGCCCAACAAGCAATCCACGCGCAAGAAGGCAATTTACGTTAATTGTCGCTGTATGCTTGCAGTAATGACTGTG